TCCCAAACAGATCACATCTTAGGCCACAAAGCAACCTTCAAAAACTCTGAAACACTGAGATAATACAAAGGATCTTCTCTGATCACAACACCATCAAAGTAGAAATTAAGAACAGGAAGAGCAAGGAAAAAAAAATCAAATACATGGAAATCGAATAATACCCTGCTTAAAAACCATGGGATAATAGAAGAAATCTAAAAAGGAATAAAAAATTCCTAGAGTCAAACACAAATGAAAATACGTCATAACCAAAATCTTTCGGACACAGCAAAGACAGTGCTTAGAGGTCAATTTATAGAGATAGATGCACACATGAAAAAAGAAGAAAGGGACAAAATCAAAACATTAGCTATACAACTCGAACAAATAGAAAAGAACAACAAAAGAAGCCCATAGGCACCAGAAGAAAGGAAATAATAAACAGCAGAGCAGAAATAAATGAAATAGAGAATAGAAAAACAACAGAAAGAATCAACAAAACCAAAAGTTGGTTCTTTGGAAGGATCAACAAAATCCACAAACCACTGGCTAAACTGACGAAAGAAAAACAGCAGAAGATGCACATAACTCAAGTAAGAAATGAAATGGGGGACATTACAACAGACTCAACTGAAATAAAAAGGATCATAAAAGAGTATTGTGAAAAACTATGCTCCAACAAATTTGAAAACATAGAGGAAAAGGACAAATTTCTAGAAACACACTACCTACCTAAACTAACACAAACTGAGGTCAATAATCTGAACAGACCCATAACAAGAGAAGAGACTAAAAAGGTAATAAAAAAAAAAAAAGCAAAACTCCCAACTAAAAAAAAGTTGATTTCACTGGAGAATTCTACCAAACATTCAGAGAAGCACTTGCACCAGTTCTACTCAAACTATTTCAGAACATAAAAAAGGAAGGGATACTTCCAAATTCATTGTATGAAGCCAGCATAACTCTGATACCAAAACCAGGCAAAGACACCACAAAAAAAGAAAATTACAGACCCATATCTATCAGGAAAATAGATGCAAAACTTCTCAAGAAAATTCTAGCCAACAGAATTCAGCAGCATATAAAAAAAAAACAGTATACCACTACTAAGTGGAATTCATACCAGGTATGCAAGGATGGTTCAACATTAGAAAATCCATCAATATAATCCACACATAAATAAAACAAAAGAATCACATAATCATCTCAATTGGTGCAGAGAAGGCATTCCACAAAGTCCAACACCCATCTCTGATAAAGACGCTCAATAAAATAGGTATAGAAGGGAAATTCCTCAACATAATAAAGGGCATTGTCATGGATTGAATTGTGTCCCCCCAAAATATCTATCAGCTTGGCTGGGTCATGATTGCCAGTGTTGTATGATTGTGTACTATTTTGTAATCTGATGTGATTTCCTTATGTGTTATAAACTCTATCACCATGATGTATAAGATGGATTAGCGGCATTTATACTGATGAGGTCTACAAGATTAGATAGTGTCTTAAGCCAATCTCTTCTGAGATATAAAAGAGAGAAGCGAGCAGAGACACATGGGAACCTCATACCATCAAGGAAGCAGTGCCAGGAGCACAGCAGGTCCTTTGGACCTGAGATTCCTGTGCAGAGAAGCTCTCAGACCAAGGGAAGATTGATGACACTGACCTTCTTCCAGAGCCGACAGAGAAAGCATTCCCCTGGAGCCGATGCCCTGAATTTGGACTTGTAGCCTACTAGACTGTGAGAGAATAAATTTCTCTTTGTTAAAGCCATCCACTTGTGGTATTCCTGTTACAGCAGCACTAAATGACTATGACAGTTATCTATACAAAACCAACAGCCAACATCATTCTTAATGGAGAGAGGCTCATAGCTTTCTTCCTGAGAAGAGGAACAAGACAAAGATGCTGTTTATCACCACTCATATTTAACATTGTGCTAGAAGCCCTAGCTAGAGCAATAAGGAAAGAAAAAGAAATAAAGGGCATCCAAATTGGTAAGGAAGAAGTAAAGTTGTCCCTACTTGCAGATGATATGATACTATACATAGAGAACCCACAGGACTACAGAAGAAAACTACTAGAACCAATAGAAAAATTTACAGACTAGCAGGATACAAGATAAGCACACAAAAATCAGTTGGATTCCTATATACCAACAAAGAGAACTACAAAAAACGAAATCAAGAAAGAAATACCATTTATAATAGCCCTTAAAAAATAAAATACTTAGGAATAAATATAACCAGGGATAGAAAAGACCTATACAAAGAAAACTACAAAACACTACTACAAGAAACCAAAGGAGACCTACATAAATGGAAAAACACATCACGCTCATGGATTTTGTGAAAATGTCAATTCTACCCAAAGCAATCTACTAATACAATGCAATTCCAATCCAAATACCAATGGCAATCTTTAAAGAGATGGAAAACCTAATACTAACTTTATGTGGAAAGGAAAGAAGGCCCAGATAAGTAAAGCACTATTGAAGAAAAAGAATAAAGTAGGAGTACTCGCACTACCTAACCTGAAAACCTACAGCTATGGTAGTCAGAACAGCCTGGTACTGGTACAATGACAGATACATTGACCAACAGAACAGAATTGAGAATCCAGATGTAAATCCATCCACCTACAGTTACCTGATCTTTGACAAAGGCCCAAAGACCACCAAATGGGGAAAAGACAATCTTTTTAACAAATGGTGCTGGCAAAACTGGATGTTCATCTGCAAAACAAATGAAACAGGACACATACCATACACAAAAACTAATTCAAAACGGATCAAAGACCTAAATATAAAACCAAAAACTATAAAGATCATAGAAGAAAAAATAGGATCAATGCTAGAGGCCCTAATACATGGCATAAACAGGATACAAACCATAACTAACAATACAGAAACCTTAGAAGGTAAGCTAGATAACTAGGATCTTCTAAAAATTAAACACTTATGCTCATCAAAAGACTTCACCAAAAGAGTAAAACAAGAACGTACAGACTGGGAAAAAAATTTTGGGTGTGACAAATCCGACAAAGTTCTAATCTTTAAAATCAACAGGAAAATCCAACACCTTTACAAGAAAAAGACAAATAATCTGATTAAAAAGTGGGTAGAGAATATGAACAGACACTTCACCAAAGATAACATTCAAGTGGCTAACAGACACACAAGATAATGCTCATGATCACTGACCATTAGAGAAATGCAAATCAAAACTATAATGAGATACCATCTTACCCCAACACTTCTGGCATGGATCAAAAAAAACAGAAAATAATAAATGTTGGAGAGACTGCGGGGAGACTGGAACTCTTATGCACTGCTGGAGGGAATGCAAAATGGTAAAACCATTTTGGAAAATGATATAGTGCTTCCTTAAAAAGCCAGAAATAGAAATACCATATGATCCAGCTGTCCCACTCCTAGGAATATATCCTAGAGAAATAAGAGCCATCACACGAATAGACATACGCATACCCATGTTCATTGCAGCATTATTCACAATAGCAAAGAGATGGAAACAACCTAATTGCCCATCAACAGATGAATGGACAGACAAATTATAGTAAGTACACACAATGGAATACTACGCAACGCAAAAGAACAATGATGAATCTGCAAAACATCTCACAACATGGATGAATCCGGTAGGCATTATACTGAGTGAAATAAGTCAGGCAGAAAAGTACAAATATTGTCTGAGACCACTATTATAAAAACTCATGAAAAGGTTTACACACAGAAAGAAACGATCTTTGATGATTACTAGTGAAGGAAGGGGATGGGAGGAAAAAGAACTAACTAAATAATAAATAAGTGGCAACTTTGGTGAAGGGTAAGACAGTACAGAATACTGGGGAAGTTAGCACAACTTGACCAAAGCAAGGTCATGGAAGCTTCATAGACATATCCAAACTCCCTGAGGGATCAAATTACCGGGCTGAGGGCTAGGGACCATGGTCTCTGGGGACATCCTTATAACATAGTTTATAAGGAAAATGTTCTACATCCTACTTTGGTTAGTAGCATCTTGGTTTTTAAAAGTCTGTGAGAGGCCATCTAAGATACCCCATCTAAGATACTCCATCTGAAGCAAGGGAGAATAAAGAAAACCAAAGACACAAGGAAAGATTAGTCCAAAGTACCACAACTTTGGACCAATGGACCACAACTACCAGACTGAGTCCAACACAACTAGATGGTGCCCAGCTACCACCACTGACTACTCTGACAGGGATCACAGTAGAGGGTCCCGGACAGAGCTGGAGAAAAATGTAGAACACAATTCTAACTCACAAAAAAAGGCCAGACTTACTGGCCTGACAGAGACTGGAGAAGCCCAGAGAGTATGGTCCCCGGACAACCTTTAACTCAGTACTGAAGTCACGCCCGATCCAATCCAGCCAAAGATTGGATAGGCCCATAAAACAAAATGAGACTAAATGGGCACACCAGCCCAGAGACAAGGACGAGATGACAGGAGGGGACAGGAAAGCTGGTAATAGGGAACCCAAAGTTGAGAAGGGGAGTGTTGACATGTCGTGGAATTGGCAACCAATGTCACAGAACAATATGTGTATTAATTGTTTAATGAGAAACTAATTTGCTTTGTAAACCTTCATCTAAAGCACAATTTAAAAAAGGAAAAAGAAAAAAAACAAAACAAAACAGAGTAGACACAGGCATACGGGGGGGAAGACAGATGCTAGGAGATCCAAAAATCGGCTGAAATAGACAAAGAAAGACTTCCCCCTAAAGCCATGCCCTGAATTCAGACTTCTAGTTTCCAGAACTATGAAAAAATAAATTTCTTTTCTTTAAAGCCACGTACTTGTGGTGTTTTTGTTATGGCAGCACTGGGTAACTAAGACAGCATATTAGTCAACAAAAGCATAATATTGCTACAAAATAGGGACTCTGTCATGAGATAAGAGGTGTAGCATTTATTTTCTCATAATATTGAAAGAAATTCATAAAGCATTTTTATCCTCTACAAATATTTAAGCCAAACCTGTCTGTTGGGTCCTTTAGCATCCTACCCAGATCAAGGGTGGCTCCTGGTCGTGGGGTCCATGTTACCACATCACAGTTTTTCTTGATAAGGTTGTTGAGTTCATTTGGGTCATTTTTGATGTTTGTTTCCTTAATATACCTGAGAAATAAGAACACAGTTCTGATTTTTACAATGACAGAATTTTTTGTTTTCTCTACATTCACACTTCGCAATCTCACTCCTCTCACCACCATAGGACAATAAAGACCATACTTGGGCTAATGTCCCTCACTAGGGAAGAATTATTAGTCAAAGAGGGTTGTATTTATACTGCTTTTTAAAGTATAATCTCACAGTGATTGGCATTGAAGTTGGATGTACCCAGGCTAACTATTATAAATAGGCAGGAATTGCACACTCTTATATTTAATATTAATTAAATATATTAACCAATTTAATATTAACATATTCAATATTATTGGTGGGCTTTATACTAAGTGCTTAACATGAGTAATCCAATTTTACCTTTACAATGTCTTCATGAGATAGTTACCATTATTATGTTCATTTTATAGAGAAGGAAGGAGTCCCTGGGTGGTGCAAATGGTTAATGCTCCTCTTGGCTGTTAACTGAAAGGTGCGAGGTTTGAGTCCACCTACAGGCACCTTGGAAGAAAGGCCTGGTGATCTACTTCTAGAAAATCAGCCATTGAAAACACTATGAAGTACAGTTCTGCTCTGACACACATGGGGTCAACATGAGTCAGAATCGACCTGGTTGCAACTGGTTATAGAGAAGGAAACTGAGGCTGAGAGAGGCTAAATGATTCGCCTGGTCACATCACTAGTAGGCAGTCCAGCTCCAACTCCCCAGCCAGCTCTTTCCCACACAGCTAGAGCAGGGCTCAGCTTTCTTGGGAGAGTGCAAGGAGAGGCCTCTCCCCAAGTTTGCAGTGAAATCTTAGAAGTTTCTACATTCAAAACCACTATAAATCCACCCATTACAAAAAAGCATTCACATCCTCAGTTGTTACCCATCCTGAGATCTGGTTTCTGATTGTACTACTGGTAAAAGCTAAATATCTCCCAAATCTAATTTCAAGCAACAGTGTTTCTCCAAAAGCTATAACTCATCAATTTTGATGTCGTATGGAAAGGTGACTGTGGTGGTGCTGGGGCAGAAAAAGGGAACTCCAGAAGAAAAGGGTTTGTCACTGTGTTACATCTGACATGGGTTATCTAGGCAGGCGTTTCTGTTAAACGGAATTTTACTTTCTTGAGCTACAACTTGGTTACCTAGGTTTGATACATTTTTTAGTCAGATAAATAAATTTTTAAAAATATGTAGACATGTTGCATTTCTATAGCACTAAGCTGACTTCCATTGTTTCTGATTGAAACAGTTTTGCAGACGTGAGCGATGATAGTGTCACCTCACTCAAAGATGTCAGTGGCTTGTCCCTTCCTATGTTCATTAATGTCTGCCCGGTGGCATAGATTCATTAGCAAGTTTGGAAGGAGTCCCAGTCTCTGGGTAGTGGTGCAAACGAATAAGCTCTCGACTACTAACAGAAAGGTTGGTGGTTTGAACGCACCCAGAAGCACCTCGGAAGACAAGGCTGGCCTGTCTATGGAGCAGTTCTACTCTGTACACATGGGGTTGCCATGAGTTGGAATCAACTCAACAGCAATTAGTCAATATCTTTTCAAGTCCTTAGTTTGAAGCAGTGCCACCACCTTTATCTCATTTTGCTATCGCTAGTCTCAAAATGTTTTACTAACTGGTCTTCCTGCCTCCAATATCCCCCTCTTTAAAGTATGTTACTATCAGATTACTCTAAAACACAGTGTGGTAGAATTTGAGCTGTGTGGTGTTCACAAAGTTCTGTAACTTTTTGGTGCTTCTTTGTCTTTTTCCTGTGTAAAATAATTATAAAATCAATACCTACATGCCACTGTCTGATGAAACTATGCTCCAAATAGCACAAAATGTCCGTGTAAAGGGCGACATTTGCCAACTACTTACACGCAGAAGTGTGCCTTTTAATTATTTTAAATGGCAGCATCACATTAAGTGATCATGTGTCCTATACTTAAGTACCCACCAATCCAATTCTTCTCCAAGCCCTTTCAATTCAACGTACTTAATATTTCTTGAATCTGAATTCTCTTCTCAGTCTCTCCTGCCGCTCATCATTCCTTCCTGGGTTATTGTAATGGTTTTCACACTGGTTTCCAGGATCAACATTTCTTTTTCCCTGCCCACCACCTACATATACAATGCAACCTCCCCAGTGAACATCTGATCATGTCCCTGTTCCTCATTAGACTACTTTGTTGGGCTCCTCATGCCTTCAGGATAAAAGCAAACCATGTCGTATGGCACAGAACAGGATTCACTGTTAGACTTCCTAACCACTCTCCTGGACTTCTCATACCACAAAACTAAACCAAATCAGTTGCTGTCGAGTCAATTTCAACCATGGTTGCCCAGTGGTTAAGTGCTCAACTGCTAACTGAAAGGTTGGTAGTTTGAATCCACCTAGAGGCACCTCATGGAAGCAGCAGTCGAGAAATCAAATGATGCATTGCATTGGGAAAATCTGCTGCAAAAGACCTCTTTAAAGTCTTAAAAAGCAAAGATGTCACCTTGAAGACTAAGGTGCACCTGGCCCAAGCCATGGTGTTTTCAATCACCTCATATGCGTACAAAAGCTGGATGATGAATAAGGAAGATCGAAGAAGAAATGACACCTTTGAATTATGGTGTTGGTGAAGAATATTGAATATACCATGGAATGTCAAAAAAACAAACAATTCTGTCTTGCAAGAAGTACAGCCAGAATGCTCCTTAGAAGCAAGGACAGCAAGATTACATCTCACATACTTTGAATATGTTATCAGGAGGGATCAGTCCCTGGAGAAGGACATCATGCTTGGTAACGTAGAGGGTCAGTGAAAAAGAGGAAGACCCTCAACGAGATGGACTGATAGAGTGGCTGCAACAATGGGCTCAAGCATAACAATGATTGTGAGGATGGCGCAGGCAGTGTTTCATGCTGTTATATATAGGGTTGTTATGAGTCGGAGCTAACTCGACAGCTCCTAACAACAACAACAACAGAGGCACCTCAGAAATGAGGCATAGCAATCCTGAAGGGTCACTGCCTTGAAAACCCTGTAGAGCGCAGTTCTACTCTGACACACATGGGGTCACACTCCTTATGCAGGGTCTAAAAGAATCTCCCCATTCTGAATGACAGTCTCTCACCTCAGAACCTTTTCATCTTTGCTGGTCAATGCCTACGCATTCTTCAAATCTTAGTATTCATAGCCTAATCCAGGAAGCATTTTCTGACCTCCACCTGTACTCCTACTGCCTCCAGAACATACATGTATTATAATACTTATCATTCTGTATTATAATTGCTTGTTTTTCTCTTCTGATTGACCATTAATTCTAAAGACAGATAATCATTTCATCTCCAGTTGTCCAGTGCCTACCACAGTGCTGCTCAGGGAATATAAATGAATGAATAATGAACAGCATTGACCAAAAGAAATTATTTTCAAAATTTAGGCCAATCTTTCTGGCAAACTTTGGAAGATATGAGATGCTAAATAATGCCAGCAAGAAGGGTAAAAAGAAAGAAACATCAGTAACAGGCAACTCTGAGCAATTACACAAGTGTATATACAACATCAGAGAACAAGGATGAACTTCAAAGTGCTAAGAGTCATGTTTTAATAATGAGGCAAATGAAGCCCAGAAAAGTCAGATAATTAGTCCCAATAAGTGATATCAGGACAAAACTGAAATTCCATGAACACTTCTCCTCTTGCTGTACTGTGCTGCCTTCAGTTGATAAGTCATTCCAGTCCTTATAGGATTATTGTCATGAAACTTATGTCAAGGACTGGTTTCTTTCATACTCAACAAATTTACAGATAAGTGTACTCCCAGAGTAGAGTGACACAGGCCTCCTCTGCCTCCAGCATAGGCAGTGCTTGCCCTTTTTTCACAAACTACTGCCAGTAATTGCATCATAAAGTGAATCTTCGTGAAGCAGATGGTACTTGCTCATAAAAAGGATGCTATAGTTAGGATCTGAGTCACTATATGTACTTAGGATAAATACATTTTATGTACAGTCAACAGACTCTTATAAAAGCAGGAAGAGTTTAAACATCTATAAGATTTTGTTAACCGTTTAAAATGATAAAACTATGCCCCAAATAGTACATAATAGAAAGATTCTATAGTTTTTTCAAGGGGTTGTGAGTTCTACAAAATGTGCATGTAATACCACTTGATTGTAGCACATATATTACTTAAACAAATAGACTAGCTTTAACTATTATGCTTAAGATTTTCTTTAAGAATAGCTGTGTTTCTCTTTTTTGTTTTTAATTTTCATAATTAATGTAGATCCAATCTTTTTGACCTTTATTTTTATGTGTGTATCCTTAAACATACCAACAGTCAAAAAGATGGCATAGGACTGTGCAACATTTTGTTTTGTTATATATAAGGTCGCCATGAGCTGGAGCTGACTCAATGACAACCAACAACAACAGTTCTATGAGTTTCAATACATGTATAGATTTGTGTAACTACCACCACAACCAGGATACTGAACAGGTCCGTCATCCCAAAACTGTCTTGTATTGCCCCTTTGTACTTAACCCCTAATCTTAGCTCCTGCCACCACTGATCTATTTTCCATCCACCTAGTTCTACCTTGTCCAGAATGTCATAAATGGAATTATATAGTATGTAAACTTTTGAGACTGACTTCTTTCACTCAGCATAATGCCTTTGAAAGTCATCCATGTTTTATATATATCCATAGTTCTTTCTTTTTTACTGTTGAGTAGTATCCCATTGTATACAACTACTAATCAAAAGGTTGGTGGTTTGAACCCACCCAGCAGCTCCATGGGAGAAAAACCTGGCGATCTGCTCCCATAAAGATTACAGCTTAGAAAAACCTATGGGGCAGTTTTACTCTGTCACATGGGGTCGCTATGAGTCGAAATCGACCCGACAGCACCTAACAATAGCAATAGGTACACCATAGTTTGTTTATCCATTCAAAGCAACATTTGTGTCATTTTGGTGATTATGAATAGAGCTGCTATTAACATTTGTGTATAATTTTGTGTGAGTAAAAGTTTTC